AAAATATTTGAATTGAATGAAATGTTTTCTAAATATCTGGGAAGGTTAAGATTTTTTTAAATAATATGAACATTTAATATCTATACAAAAAACTAATATCTTTATTTGTTTTATATATATATATATATATATTCAAAAACAAGTAAAATTTTATTCTACAGACTTGGAGGGACAATTTGATTGGTTGTCAATATTGTCTATGTAGTTTTGAAAATGATGGCTACGTGACCAGACATCCCCTACTACTATCTGATCCATGAAACTCATAAGGGGAAAAGAAAATTTACTGAATTTCAATACCTGTTTCCTTGTCAAAATCAATGGAACAAAAATAAGACTTTTCAACTGAATTTTAACTTACTGATAAATTTTGTATCTTTTAAAAGATTCTGTTTAATTCAAGTAGTATCTGAGGGGGTAGAACTTTGTTTGACAATAGGAGATAAATGTCACCCTCAACTCTGTAATAAAATATCATCCTGCTTGAGTTTTTTTAATTTCTTGTATTAAGAGTAATAGGGTGGGGTGATGTATACACTCTTGTTCTGCTTTTTTTTTTTTTTAATTTTTTCTTTCTTTTTTTTTTTTTTATGTATATTTAATGTCTGTATCTGATTTCTATTTAAGAAAGTTTGTTTTTGCTTTACTAATACAATCATATTGTAAATTACTGCAAATATTAGTTTGAAACAAAAGTTTTTGCATTTTTAAGAGAATGTTAGACATTATTTAAATATTTGTACATAGATTTATTCAACCACATATCTGCCATTTTGTTTCATTACCTTTTAACCATCTTTGAGGGAGTTTCATGATTTTATCCTCCCAGATCTTGGTGTCTTTCTAGGTGAACTGGTTTAATTGGTCTTTACAGTCTTCCAGAGAAATTAGTTCCTCTTATTTCAAAAAACATTTTGTAGGGATCAAAATAAGTGGTAATCTAAAGGGGCAGGGTCAAATGAGTATGCCTGGTCTAGTTGGACATCCAGTCCAGTTGTACCTATTTCTTTTGTGTCTGCAAAGTGACATGAAATCTGGTATTGTCCTAGTAAAGGCAATGCTACTTTGATTTTGTCAATTGCTGTCTTTAATTGGTCTAATTGGGAATGGTACTTGTCTGAATTAAATGTCTGATTTTGTGGAAGGAGCTTGTGATACACAATGCCCATTCAATCCCACCAGATTGTGGTGACAAAGGAGAAAACCAAGTCTTACCTTGGAAAATAATTTTTTTTTTTTTTTTTTTCCAGTGTTGAAAAAGAAAATCTGAATAAAGCTTGGGGTGATTTTAGTAGACCTTGAAATAGGGTAATTATCTGTGCTTCCCTACCAGTCTCGATCAATCAGTGTTTCTTACCTTCAAGAAAAGAATGCTACTTTGAACCACAGGATGACTTAGCTCTTGTGGGTGAAGAGATAGTTGTGTGTTGCAAGTGGTGATGTGGATTTTTTTAGCTCTTTTGCTTTATGCTCCCAGTATTTTCTGATGTTGGACTTAAGAGACTGATTTCTTTACCCTTGGAATTATGCCCTTGGACTTCAGATTTTTGGTATCTGAATCTCCCTATTGCTAGTTCACTCACAGATAGCATCACCTTCTTCAAATGTAGACTCAATTTTAGAGAAGTTAACAGAGGCTCATTTTGTTTTCCTCAGGACATTTTTGGCTCCACATTGTTTACAACAATGTGGTTTTCATTATGTGTGATTCTTTTAAAAAAAATCATTCACTTCTGTTGTATTTGAGCTGAGGATTGCAGATAGAAGTGCTGTCTATTAATTTTTTTAATTAAGTCATTAGGTATCCAAACATCATAACAGTTCATGTATCCAAGTGTTTTCAAATTCCTTATGCTCATGAAAGGTGTGAAATATCTCTGTAATGTTCCGTGTCATATGAGATGTATTATTTTTAATCAATGTTTTGATTTGGTTATCATCAAGGACTGCAAGCCTACCAGAACATTTTTGGCCTGCCAGATCAAAAGTTCCTGTTCTGAACTTAGAAATCACTTACAAACATTACTCTCAGATATTGCATCATCTCCATAAATGGCACATCTCTTTTTTTGCTGTTTGTACATCTTTTCCTTTCTGGAAATAATATCAAATGAGGAAAATGCATCTCATTTTCCTCTATTTTTACTTTTAACTTTTAACTTTAACATTTAAAATTCATAATCCATAAACAAATCTTATAGAAAGACACAGTGAAATATTAGATTTCAGAATAATTATATATGTCATAAATTTCAGTCACATATTCAAACACTTTCTATTGAAAGAAAAACTATGGACTTTCAGGTGACAACCAGATGCCCTTTATGCTGCTAAGTTTTCAGTTTACAAAATTGATTTAAAAACAGATTGTTCATGTGCGTGCATTTTATCTAACAAGACATTAATGCTTTTACTCATCAAAATTATGGAATGGGGTTAGTCTGTCTATTGGGTTTTTACTTCTAACTCATAGTATCACTTTTTCTTTTCAATAAGAAGCAAAAACAAAAACTTATTGATATTGTGTACAAATATACACACCCACTGGCATGATGCCATTTCCTGTTTTCACATGTGTACACAGTAATGGAATGCAAAATCTCTCAACTGTATTAAAAAAAAAAAAAAAAAATCATTTGCTTAAGCTAAATCTATATTTTTTTTTTTTTTTTTTTAATTTTGAAATTTTCTGATAGATTTTATTGATTGGAAAAATGTTACATTTTCATCGCAGCTGATTGCCTCTCAGACATCTAGCTATAAGAAGAATACTGAGCTTTTATCTGCTGAAGCTGGCTTTTAGAAATCTTACTCTTCCTCAACTCCCCCACTTTAGTCTTCGTTTTCCTGACATCCAGCAAAAGAATCGATCAGTGTTGGTAAGGTACAATGATAACATATCAGCAATTCACAACTTTGTAAATTGCTCAAATAATTAATATTCTATATTTGTTACTACTGCCTTAGCATATATATATATATATATATATATATATATATATATAAATCTGTTTCTATATTCATACAATTTTACCCAACCATATTCAGCTCATTGTTGACTTTGGATATATATGTATATATATAAAAAAAATTCCAAGGTGGAGCTTGCCAGTTGACAAACTTAAACTACAATCAATGTCCAGAATGCTAACTTCAAGTAAGTAATTTCACTGATTATTTAAGATTGTCTACTTAAAAAGTAAAAAAAGGTTTGGCAAGATAACTAGGAAAATTCTAACATGTTTTGCTGTTGTCATGTGCTGGTGAGAATTATATTTTCCATTTTTGTTATTTATTTGTTTTTTTTTTCCAAGTTTGTTTTAAGTCAATCTGTAGAAATAGTCCTCTATGGATGAACTTCCCTTCAAACAGTTATTTTGAATGTCTGTTTTTAATTTAAAAACTTTTCAGTATTTCTTCATAAACTCCAGTTTTTTTGTGGAAATGAATTCATATAAAAAATAAATCCTGTCACGTTCCCTGCATGTATTCCCAGGTTTTCCTTGCTTTGAAAATCAGATTATTAATATTCAGTTAAAAGAACAATATCCAGCATTTAAAAATCTAAACTTTTTGTTTAGACTGGACATGTATTTAAATGTTAAATTAAGTAATTACTGAATAAAACAGATGAATGCTCCAGTTCAAATATTCTTACTTGAAATTTTCAAAATTCATCATACAAGGACAGAACTACATTAAAAAATTTTTAATTCCTGTGTGTGTATGTATGTATATATATATATATATATATATACCTTGATATGTATAGATTTTTTATGTAATGCAGTATTGAAAAAAAAAAGCTTTCATTAATATTCTTGTTCAAATTGTCCTTTCACATGAAACAGGTTTCCTAAATGCTTAATTCCTCAACATACATCACTATTTCATGTTTTTGTAGCTTTAGAATTCTTAGCTTAATTCTTTTTTTTTTTTTTTTTCTTGTAAAAAAAAAAAAAAATTATTTTCAACTAATATTTTACAATGCAATGATTTTGATGCTTTATTTATGTATGTATGTATAAAACAGTTCCATTTTTTCCTTTGTATTTGTAAAAGTAAGGATGAAAATTTTGATTATGGCAGTGACTTTTCAAAATAACTTTTGAATATAAACCTCTTTGGATTTTTTTGAACAAAGGTGCAGTTTATTTGAAATGCAAACAAAATATCTTGTTGATCTTGAATTATTTAGTTGATAAAATGAGGTTGATATGGGATGCAGAATTTCAAACAAGAGTTCTTTGTGAGGTAACTTTGTAAATAGTGAAGTGTGAAAGAATTTTACTTTCAAACACTGTTTTTCAGAGTAATCTTAGGTGTAGTGGAGATGAATGGCTTCTCTGAATTCTTCATTTCTCGCTGTTCAAGGTTTTTTTTTTTTTTTTAATTTTTTATGCTGTTTTGTGAAATAAGGAATATTTAAGGGTCTTTGAAGATATTTTTGTAGATGTTGCAATAATGTTAAGTGTACATATCCAGTTAATGCTAATCTTTTGAACTTTTAATGAGATTCAGTTTTTGATTTCTGCTATTCAGTTGTATGATGGTCAAGAGATTCTGTGATTTTTACTGATTTTTATCTGATTGTTTGCAGCTGTTTTTATTACACATTTAGTACATTTAAAATTAATATTTATGATGATTTGTAATCTTAAATTCTTTATTTCTTTCCCTTTCTCTCATTTTTTTTTTTATTTTATTTTAACAAGACAAAGATCTGGAATGGGTTCTATTAATGTCCTTGGTAATCTCCCTGCCTACAGCTAGGAAGGTGAATGTCTTATACAAGTAACAAGTTACAGTATCAGAAAATTAGTTTTTATCAATTATAGAGTTTCTCTTGTAGGGTGTGAAATTGAAGATTTTAATTTATCACTTGTTTTATTATGAAAGATTAGAATGTTTAAAAAAAAAAGTAACATGCATTTTATGTTTTTGTTTGTGAGGAGTTTATTTGTTTCTTTCTTTGTTAATTGTTTGTGCATTTGTTTCAGGTGAAACAAGGCGCTGAGAATATGATAAGCATGTACAGTAGTGGCTCATCTCGAGATAAGAAGCTGCTTGCTGAAGCCCAGCAGATGCTTAGTGATGCCAAGATGAAGATAGAAATCATTCGCATGCAGACATTAAAAGCTGCACAAGATGCAAGCGCACGGTCAGATGGTAAGTTTCTTATAGTTTAAAATGGAAGAAAGATTTTTTTTCAATGGCTAGTTCTCATTACTGTTGGAAATACAAAACCATGTTTCCCCCCACCAATTCAGACATGTATACAATTTTTTTTTCCCCCAAATACTTCAATAAGTCTTGATAAACTTATTTATTTCTCTCCACCACCTATTACTCATTTGCATTCTTTATTCTACCACTTTATGTGCGCACGAGTATATATATATATATATATATAATTGCAGCTTAATTCTGAACATAGATTTAAGCAACTTTGACATCTTTTTTTTTTTTTTTTTTCTGTTAAAAGCCATTAATTTTTTGGAGCTTCAAAAAACACAACTCTGGGTTTAGAATGCCAAAATACTTTTAAAAGAAATTACTTTGAATGGACTCATGTTGAGCACAAAAAACTTGTTGTTTGAAAGGGTCTTGATGTTAATTCCACTGAGAATGTTCTCACAATTTGATCTAATGTTTAATGAATGTGATTGCCTCAGTCTAAGTAGGGCAGGTCTAAAAAAAAAAAATGCCCTCAGATGTGACACACTGCATATTGGTGGGGGACACCCCCACTGTATCATCACACACACACACACACACACACACACACACACATATATATATTAGTTTTAAGGTGTGCTATATATATATATATATATATATATATATATATATATATTAGTTTTAAGGTGTGTTATATTTATGGGATAAAGTTCTCAATATCAAATAGTGTATGTAAATATAAAAGTGAACATTGAAGTCAACACTCAGGGGTGACTGGCTGTTTCATGCTAGTCACAATCTATCTTATATATAAGCTTTTCTTGAATATTTTCTTCCTTTTTTCTGCACATAAAATTTTAAAAATCTAATTATCTTTGCATTTTTCATTTACTGGTTTCTTTGTCTTGCAAGGAAGATTTGAAAACTTTGGATGTATTTACTTTTGGGATTGTAGAAGAGCTTTGGCTTTCTTATTTCTATTTTAACAGACAATTATTGAACTAAGCTGTACATATACAAAGTGCTAATATTTCCACTAACTTTTTCTACCTTTTTCAATACAGTATTTTACTGGTAAAGTGTCATCTTTAAGTAAAATACCAGCTTAGATTGAATTACTAACATGTTGCAGGAAACTATTCAAACAATGTTATTTCAAATTGGATTGCTTTTGATTTGAGATTAGTAGTCTCAATTGCAAAATTCAATTAGCATTAAAAGGTGCTTATTTGATAATCATTTAAAAATTTTCAATATATTGTCAAACACAAGAAATTTAGTTATTAAATATAACAAATAAGATTATAAAAATGATAACATTTGTGGTATTTTAAAGGTTGCAGGATTTTATCTTTTTTATTTTAAAGCTCATGTTGGTTCATAGTTTGTAAACAAAGTAAGTTTCATTTGAATTCTTTGATTATACCAGGTTATGGCTTGGCTGCATTTTAGTGAAAGGGTGGAAGAGTACAAATGATTGTGAAAGGCAAAGACTTGAGTCTTCATTTCTCCAATTGATATTTGCAGGTTTATAAAATATTGTATCTTTCTTATAAAATATTGGTACTTTACTTCTTTTTTTCCTGATCTTTGACCTAAACATTTTTGGCAGATTGTATTATTATCTTCGTCTTTGTTGATTTTTAACAGTTTTTATTAATGTATTCTTTGGTATATATTGCATCTGTGATCATTACAAGTCAGTTTCTTTCATTTCCTCTTCTCACCAGAAATATTAGTTTAAATAAGTCACAAGACTCTATGCTATACTAAATCTGTTGTGTTAACAAGATTGGAAAAACACTATCAAGGAATTGTCTTTCCATTGATCTTTTTTTATATGATGAATCGTTTGAAGAGTTCATAATGCCAAAAAATTCTTATGCCATTGTTTTGGAGTTTGTCACATTTACTTGTTCTTTTCAAGATTAATTTTGTACAAAAGTTTTCAAATATATTTTTGGTTTCTAAAGTTAATATAGCCGAATATCCAAGAAAAGTTTTACTTCCAGAATAACCACTTTCATAAGCTTCATTTGTTAATTACCCACTAAATAACGATCAACTGTAATGTGTTTATCCAACAATCCTGTGACGGGTTAACCGGCATGAGCAGTCTCACGACATGGCACAATGGTGAGATCATGTATTTCTCAAGGTTACTAAAGGTTGGTATTCAAGCTCCTGTTACGAAAAAAAAAAAAAAAAAAAAAACACAGTCAGGAATGTTTATTTTCTAGTCTCTCACCACTCTTCCAATATTTTCCTACCACCTGTTATGGTTTAATACCTTCTTGGTACATAACCATAATATTTGTTTTTAGTTATTAACAGACATTTATTATATCAAGAATAATATATTTAGACAAAAAATATTTCAACTTGTGACTAGTTGAATTCTGATGCCCTTTTTTGAACTCTGAAGAGTCGGACATATGGGTCAGGATGATATGAATCTTAAGTGATGGCAGTAGTCAATCAAAAATGAGTCCAGTAGAAAATAAAATGTGAAAGAATTGGTTGGCACTTAAAGCAATTTAATGTTAGCATTTAATTATGTTGCTTCCTACCATTTATCTCTATACAAGCCTTTGAACTCTGAGCTATTTTTTTCTAAAAGCAATATCTTTAGTTTCTCATTAAAATTTACATATTTGTCAGAAAACTAATATTAATGTAAAGCTTATAAAATATATCTGGCATAAATCTCACCTTGTATAATAACCTTAAATGCTAACATATTTGAGTCAATCTGGGATGAAGTTGAAAAAATTAATATTTAGAAATGTTCAGTGAGGTTTATGTACCTTTTTTTGACTAGTTTTTCTCTCATTTTTATTTCTGTTGCTTTTTATTACAAATTTTACCTTCTGACAGTAATCTCTATCTGCTTTGTAACAACTTTGTACAAAAATCATTGTCCATAAGAAAATGATGCATGATTCTAACATTAAATCTTTAACATGTTAGTTGGAGTGGAATTACTTTGTTGTTTTTCTATTAAAGCAAAGCAATTAGTAATAAGGCAGTTCAAGTAAACTTTCCAAAGAGGAAAGCCTTATTAGAAAAATGTCTTTTTTAGTGTAATCACTTTCTCCTTATTTCATTCCTTCTGAGGTTAATAAGATAAAAGTATTTTCTTGTTATTTCTGTCCAAGGCTCAAGTTCAACATTTGCTAAGAGATCCTCTGAGAAACTTGGAATGATCAAAAACACTCTAACACAGTCATATTTTTTTTAATGCATGACAAATCCTTCAATGTTCTTTGCCTTATAATAAAAATCTGGAAGAAAAATTACCAATATAATGTTTGATTAATAACACGCCAAAAGTCATTTCCAAGAGAGGCTTGGAAGTCTGAACATTTTCAGAATATTCTTTCTTTAAATCTGATATTGGTAACTAACAAATAGTGTTTATACAATCTTCTGTATAAGTACATTAATAATCCTATATCCTTTATATTCTTGACTTACATTCAAATTGTCCATTTGCAATTTTCATTTTGATATCTCCTGTTTTTCATTAAAAATCTGCAAACCTGATTATAATTATTATTATTATTCAGTGGTTGAATAATTGATTTTCCTCTAAAAAGATCTTTTAATCAAAAATGAAAAAAAATAAGATATTGTGCTTTCCATATTGATAGAATGCAGCCTATTGGCTGGTTGTTCATGTCTGTTGCAGAGTTTATTCCAGATATGGAAAGGATTAGGCCCACTTGGGATGAGCTATTCCATTCATGCTCTTATCTTCATCTGCTTTCTCAATAGGATTACGAGTCTGCTTGTCAGTCTTGCTACAAGTAATTTCACACTACACAACCACCTGACATTCAGGCTTTGATTTTTATGTAATATTTCTCTGAATTTGTCTGTGATAGCTTCTTGCAATAACTTTTTGCATGCTGATTGCACACTGACCAGGGTAGCTAAGTAAAGGGTGCATAAGGCCTGCAAATCTTATCCTTTTTCACACAGTCTTTCACATGATGGACACAAATGCTGTATTCCTTTGTTGTCAGGCATTCTTCACTTGTATGTATCTTTTTTATTTTCTTCGTCATCAGTTCTAGCTTCAAATACTTTCCTAGCCTCATTAACGTTTCGAACCTAAATGAATTTGTCATTTTTATTAATTGTATAAGTTAATTTTTTTTTTTTTTTTTTTACAAAGAAGATTTTATTTGCTTTATTTCTCTATTTTATTTGAATAGTATGCATTTTCTTAACTTTAAATGAAGATATGCCAAAAACATTTTTTCCTTTCAAGGGTAGTATTAAGAAATGCTGAAAGTGTAAATTTCTATTTGATGTAATGAAAGTTTTTCTTTATGATCTTGGCAAATTTTTAAGGATTTTTGGAAATTCTATATTCAAAATGAATAGCTGTAAATTCTACCCAAATTCAGCAGTTTTGAGATTTGAATCTTCCATTAAATCACTGATGTATATTTTGTTATTTTTTAATCTCTTCATTATCTAATACTTTATTACTCAAACAATAACATTTGTATTTTAGTACTCACATTCTATTTCTTCTTGATTAATATCCTGCTAGTGACTACTAACTTTATTCATTAGTTTATCTGTTTATTTCTAAATCCATCACTTAAATATCAAAAGTATTGAAAAAAAAGTATTTGGAGGTGGGGACCTATTGCTATGTTGTCTTGAAATTTCTTTTGCTTCCTGTTTGTTAATATATTGATATGTACTTTATTTTACTTTGTGGAATATAACAATGACCTTATCAGCCATCACCACATTGCTTTCATTACAGAACCAATTTTTAATGTTTAGATTTCAAAAAGAGTGTGTTCATCAGATTTCAATGGCTAATAATACAAAATTCTCTTAAGTTCCATGTATATTATCATTTTTAACTGAAAGCTCAGAGTAACAGGATTTTGTCCTCAAATCCTAAAAAAGTTGTGATGCATAATTTTGGGGCTTTTGCTCTTCATAAAAGTACCAAACCAAAA